TAAATATCGCTGGGGCTGCCCATGAATTTCCCGCCACGACATCGAGAACGTGACGTGATCGATCGATCGATCGATCGATAGTCCGAGTTCCAGTTTCTCGATTTGTACGATGGAATTTTATTCCTTCCAGACGGCGTAGAAATTATAATTATATATTATTATATATTCTAATTAAATATAATATAACAGTATAGTAATAATAATAATTTCATGGGTCGAAAGTTTCCACGTTTGCAATGTCGAATAAAAAATAATGCGAACAACACGAGATCTAGCTTTATTACACGAATGTGTGTTTCAATAAGCTGATCTTGAATTTTAATTTTGAGATTTTGGCTGATAGAAATTTTCAGATTTTAAATGATATTGTTTATTTTAATTCGTCAGGAGGAACAACGCGTGACAGGGAATAAATTCAGCTTATGGTAGTTTAGACACGCATTTCTGCAGATCATTTTACGCGATGAGTTCACTTCTCGATGGAAATTCTGGATGAAGTTCTTCTATCTCCCGAATTCCAAGCCGTGATCCCAGTCAAGATGCTTATCGATGATTCATAATAGGAATTATAGTGTTGTTGGGCGTGTGAAGTTGGCAGTTTGCGTGTTAATTACCGGTCGCGGTGTAACGAAAGTTTTCCTTCCTCTCTCGCAACCGATCTCTTCGATTCGACTCGCGTTTGAAATTTTAATTCTTCGTTCGTTCAATTTTTCCATTTCGTCGTTTATTTGATGGAACGTGTTTATCTCGCGTTCACGAGAGCAAGAAATATTCAGAATTAAAATGCTCTTCTAATTAAGCTTCATTTTTTTAAAAAATTATATTAAATTTAAAGAATCTACATAATCACGTAATTACTATATCTTGGATGTTTTATATAGTTTTCTGTTCGTCGTTGTGTCTCTATATTTCTCGTAAACGCATAAACGTTTGTATCATTCTCGCGTACAGCTTGATAAGAGATACTACAACGAAGAATAATATATGTACGTGTGTCAAGAGAAAGAGAGAAAGAGAGAGAGACAAGATAAAGTCGTTCTCCATTTTGCACTTTCTCTTCTTCACTTCACTGAACTTGTCGACACGCACGTTCGAAATATATATATATATATATATATATATATATATTTATTCGAAATGTAATTTCTTTCAGTTGCAAATATGCAATGGACAAAGGCGAAATTAAAAAAAAAAAAGAAGAAATAAAAACTTCTTTATTGCGCGCGATATATCCTTGAACGTATTGAACCGGTAGAACTTCGCGTGACGGATCACGATTTCCCATTTTGCCATAAATTACCGTATAAAGATGTTATTTGGCTTTGCGCCTTGATAATGAATATCGCATTTGCTCGATTCGGTTTCGTTTTATTCGCGAGCAGCTCCCTTCCTGTGGGAAAGAAGTGCAGAGAAATTTCCTCGAAGGAGATATTATTTAGCTTGGAGGAATAAAAAAATATGCAACACGGAAGAGGATCGTTGAACTTTGTTTAACTAACTGTTTGATTAACTTCGTGGTCGCTGATGCTTTCTTTCTTTCACTTTCAAATTCTCTAATTATATCTCTCGTAGAATCTACGGACTTGGTTATTTAATTGTATCGACGAGTGACTCGTCGAATTCTTTTACAAAAACGTGTTATACAATTTTGCATGTTTTCCATTCAGGAAATCCAATATTTTTATTCCATTTTCCCATTCTAATTTTCAGAAATTCTCAGAATAAATACGCGAATTATTGTCATTTGAACAGAGGAACTATCAAAATGATCAATTTTGCGTATTTCTAGAGACTCGGACGATTTTTAGTAAAATACACAAATAGAAGCTTGTGCTCTTCATTGCATTATAAATTCTTGGATTTCTCTGCTGCAAACGTCTAAAGTCGATAGTCCTGGTGTTGAGAAATAAATTTCAACTGAAAGGATAATTTAGAGTAATAAATATACATATAGATGATTAAAGTATTATGAGAATTGTATGACAATGGTATTAAATTAATAACTATTAATGCAGTTTAACGATCACTTTCCATCGAGAATGATTAGAACTTTTACTTTCAAGCATCGTTGCAGTGCACGTACAAATAACTGCAACAACAACAAATCA